ATTGGCTATATTGGCTGTCCTCTGCTTGTTCTCTGACACCAATTTAGTTGGGTACAACTGGAAGGTGTGAGTTGCTACGGGCATTACACTGCAAGGATGCAGCTCCCCAGTGCATACGGGAGTTCATCTGCTTATCTATGTTCCTGCACAGGGGAGATGCTCAGTGGTGCAGTAGAAATGGCATCTCAACAGCACAAAAAGCTTTTTTAGTATTGTTTCAAATATACACCCTTTCAGTAAATAAGAACAGTCTGAACTGCACAACAGTTGATACAGAATTAATGTTTCTGCTTCTTTTTGCTACTGCAGATATGATTCATCACACTTAAGAAAGCAAAATATATTTGGAAGCAAAAAAGCAGCCATCTTGGCTTATACCAAAGACTGTTTCAGTGTCTTAACTCCAAAGGTGGTTGTAAGCAGTAAGAACAGGGTAGGCATGTATGATACTGTCTCCTAATATTCTCTCAGATAGCAGCTGTGTTTAACTTTAGAGAGCTTTCTGCATTCAGTATAGCTTTGTGTGTTTAGTAACCCACAGCTGAATTCTAGTACAATCTCCCCTAGAGGAAGTGTGAAAAGGGAATTTGTCACATTATGTGCATGGTTTTCTTTGTTTTGGAAAGGGTCCGCTCTCTTCCATTTAATATCTGTGTAGGATTTTGGTGTTCAGCCCTCATTATGAATGCACACTCTAGTTTTTCTTGGTTTTAGCTTAAGAGGTGAGCTGCATAAACAATATGTTCACCTGCCTTCTGTCTCGTATGGAAATTTCCAATCTGTCCCTTGCCTTTCAGGAATGCACAGCGCTGCTTCCTGTCACAGAGCCAGTAGAACCAGCAGACGAATCTGAAACTTGCATTGTATTCAGATGCTTTGGGTCTTGAAGCTCCTGCCTCCTACACACCCCCATCAAATTGTTTTATTGTGTCTAATATACAGAATAGCAAATTTCTTTTTCATTACTGCCCTTATGCCTTTGCAAGCATTATTTTGTACATTCATTATTCCCTGGCACAGAACACAAGCTCATGCTAGCTCACTTGGTATGCATGCAGATGTGAGTTTCAACCAGGAAAAGATGATCACTCAGATGACAAATAACGTGTTTTAATTTTCTGAACATATTAGTCATAGAAGCCTTCTACACAACTGCATTATATGCTTCTATTGAAGATGTGCTATATGCTTTCAGTTATGATCAATTTTAAGCAGAACCAGCCATGTTCTTTTGGTTTCTTTTACTTTAATCTTATTTGTTATCAACCCTTCCAAGGGAAGATGCAGTGGCTTTTTTAAGTTAACAAGCCAGCAAACTCAGTAGATAGACAAGGGCGTTGTGTAATGTGTCATGACTGCAGAGGCTCACTGTGTCCAAGTAATGACTGTTTTACTGACAGATAATTGGGTGTACGTTGTGTTGCTGCTGGCTTTAGTTTGTTGGGGGGGGGTGTGTGTTTCTGGGCTGGTTTAATATAATCTTGAATTTGTAAACTCGTGCTTAATAACTGCTGATCAAGAGAATCTTCTGATTGTAAGATCATGCATACGATTAACGTTAGTGTTTGAACAAAACTTTAGGGTTGAACAACTTTTTCCTTCAAACATCAAAACTGAAGGTTTATGTAGTATTGTATTTATTTATTTTCTGTAAGACTGAACATGCCTGGGCATTAAAAAACATAAAAATAATATTTTGAAAATGTTGGAAGTTATTAATGATGATGATAATAGTATAGTGCCCTTCAATTCATACAGACATAATTTGACTGTGCACTGCCCAACTTTAAAGTCAATCAAATGGATGATATAGGTCATGCTGAGAGAAGAGAGGTTCAGAGGTGAGGGACTCAGATGCAGCATCCCAATCCTGCTGAAATGGACAGCTCTTTTGTGAGTCATATCAGTGGAACTAGGATTTCATCACGTAAAACTGAATGACCCAAGGATGAAAGGATGGCATTGAAATCCCAGTCTAATGCTGAGTCCCAGTTTACATGAAATAAAATGTTAAAAAAATATCTAGCAACTTAGGGCATCATCAGTCATCGTTTTAAGCAACCATTGTCAATACTAAAACAAGCTTTGGGTGGATAGGCTAAGGAAAATGCCAAAACACAGCTTCTGGCAGACTGAAAGGGAAAGTGAATTCTTAAATCAGGGGCTATTCATAGCCCACCTAAAGTTAGGATACATTAGTTTGAGTGTCTCTGAGTACAAGTTCATCTCAATAGATTCATAAATGCATAAACTTTAATGGATAAAACATGATCTTTCTGCTGAGGAGTTTCTACTGTAACTAAAAATTGAATATATTTCACTTTATTTACAAGTTGTGAATAAATCTATCATAGGTAGCCTGAACTGTTTGAAATCATAGGAGTGACTTGTGAGCCCAGTAAGCCTCTTGCAGAGCCTGGCTTAAGTGGTCTGTGAGCTGTACATAATAAAAATAGTGACACTTAGAACCATAGTCTGTTGAAAAGCCCTTAACTAATTGAAATTTGAGACCCTGGGCAAAGTAAATACTCAGAACCAAGTATTTATAAAGGAACTAAATTATCTGAAACCAAAGTTTTAATGGAAGATAAAGTGCAGTAAAACCTGACCGGTCAAAGGTTCAGGTACAAAGAAGGGATCAACCTCACTTCTACTGTGTTGTTAAAAACTGAACAGAAAAAATGTGAATTTTCATTTTATGGATTCCTTTCAGTTGACTGCTGTTTTGAAGCAGAGAAAGAGCTTAGGAGCACTTTGTGGAACATGATTATCATTGGCATTTCTCTAACACCACTGGGAGCTTTGACTCTGAGGACATCCCTCTGGCAGGCTGCCTTGGAGCCCCAGGAACCTCAGGAGAGACCCCATCTTGAGTCAAGTAGTTAGGGCAGGGCAGATTCCTGGTGGGACATCCTGGAGCCAGAATTTAGGAGTGACAGTGTTGGCAGGAACATGACAAAAACCCAGAAAGTATGTCAGAATATGTCAGACGTTGCTTTTTTATTTTATTTTTTTTAATTTAAAATATTCTGCTTGCTTTCAGAAAAAAAAAAAAATGTATGTGTATCGACTAGCAGAATTGTTTCTGCTTTGGTAATGTGTTGTTTGGTCTTATGGAAAATTTAAATAGTACTGCGTATGTTGTAAATGGCATAAACTTTCCATGATTGGGAACTTTATATAAAGGAACAAATGCTCCCTTGAGAACTTTGTTACTTCTCTGTCCATTTTTAACCTTTCTCTGTTCCTGGATGTGCTTGCCTTCCAACTGGTTTGATATGAGAGATCTGATTAGAACAGTCATACTCCGGTTCAAGCACGATGTCTAGGCCTGTTGTGATGCCTCCCATCACTTAGTTATTCAGTTTCTATCCTGTTCCTTGATACGTGCCATGTGAATGCCTACTGTGGAGAATGCAAAAAAAATGTCAAAGCAAAACGACAAAATATATTGCTGTCACCACAGAGAAAGAGTAGTGAGTCTAATTTCCACATAAAATTAAGACTCTGATTCCTACTGTTGGTAATATGGAAATTTTCCAGGAGTGCATTAGCAGCTATAGCTTTTATTTCCCCTCATTTCTTATTGGTGCTGTGAGATTTTCAAATAAGAAGTTAGTGCATATACTGCTGCTCTTGCTGCTTTCTTTTTTTCCAGTCTCTCCAGATCAGAATTTCCAATATTGCCTATCATTCTAGTAAATAAGCAGTGACCCCAATTCTAATAGCCTTTGAATTAATAATGAAGGTTATCAGTATGGGGTCTTTCGCTGCTCTTAAGATTTGTGGCCAGTTAAGTTGTTCTCCTTTGGGCATGGCACAATACAAATTGCAATCATCCTTGGCAACCACTATTTGTGTTGGTGATCATTAAAAACCAATGGTCCAAGTAATAACAGCCTCGCACTAGTCATCTACTCAAACGTTAAAACACTGCAACTTCCAAGCCCTGTTCAAATTTTTGTCGTATTGTTGTTGGGTTGTTTGGGGTGGGGTGGGGTGTTTGTTGTTGTGGGTTTTTTTTTTCTGGGATTCAATGCAGTTTTAAGTATCTGGTAGTTTTGTATTGTGAATCAAGATGGGCATGGAGATTATACAAATAAAATGGGATTGATTTGGTTTTAAAACTATTTCAGCATCAATGCTAATTCAATTTCATTTAGATTTAAAAAAAAAGAAAGGTATCAATTCTTTTCTGTAGTTTGTTTCTGGCCTCCCTCCTGTCAATAATCTCTTTCCTAGCTCATGGAAGCAGAACAAATATAATTTTTTCCCTCTTTCTTTCCACTGCAAGAGTGGATCAAACATGACTGACCACAAAAGTGTAGCGGATTCAAGAAGGCAAAGAATAAGGCTGAGTGAAAGATGAGTTAGGAAGTACAGAGGCAGCACCTGGAATAATTTTCAGCAAAAGAAAGGAGAAGATGCATAGGATGAGGATTAGAGGCCCTCTTTGCATGGTGCCTGGGACAGGTCGTCATTTATCATCCCCGTGACAGCCCTCTTTCTCAAGAGAACACACTTTCCTGCCCACTCTGCATTTCTGTGAACTCCAGCATTTGTGGTGTGGGCTTTTTTAGTTTGGATTTGTTTTGATTTTTTTTAATTCATAGACTTCCAGGGTAGGTGTACACTGGAAAGGTCTTAAGAGTCAGGCACTATCTGACAAGAGTTACTTGATATTCATTTTCTGCCTTCCTCTTTGTTGCTCCCTCTCAACCACACTGTTAAGTCAAAAATGATTTAATTTTCTCCTCAGTCAACTGAAACATATTCTTTTCTGTGATGCCGCAATGAAATGTATTTTCCAAGTTTAATTAGCAAGACAAACAATAACACAAATGCTTCTGCTGAATTTCGCTAAAGGTTCTCTATCCTCAGTTGAATAACAAAGGTCTTTGAGAGTGTGTGCTTTGGTTTTTGTCATTTGCAGAGAGCATCCATTTTTTTCTGGCTTACACAAGCAAGCTGACTGATAGCTGCTTTGTTCTCTATTTCAGGTCGTGGAGACTAATTTGGTTGCATTTGACTGTCACTGGATCATTATAAATGAGGTAACTGTCAAGTGAACATTGTTGTGAACCATGAATCCTGTTTTCAGGCTTACTGACAGTATTCATGCTGATCTTGATTTTGCCAACAGGAAGCAGTAGCTACGACAAAATTCAGGCATGCTGGGGGAGTGGATGTTGCTTAATACAAATAGAATGACAAGTTCTTGGACTCATTGTTTTGTCTTGCCTATTTTAAACAGGAGTCCTGGAATGAATAAATGGAAAATAAAAAACCCCTTTCATTGAGATTTCACATTTGACTTGAGCTGACTGTTTTGAGAGGACCTTTTTAAGGTCTTTTTTTATGTAATCTTCACAGTGGAGTGCTTGTGTTTCATTTATATTTTAATGATTTTTATTAATAATAAAAATAGCAATAACAGAATTCCATCTTTCCATCAAGAATTCAGTCATGATTGATACTCAAAACTATTGATATTACTGGGAGGCTTTTTTGGTGGACTTTGGGATGAGGTCATATATGAATGTCCACAAAAGGAAAAAAGAAAGTTAAACTGAGATCCTGTTTTTAAACTGTGAAATAGGTTCTTCCATGAATGCTTGTCAGTGAGAATATGACAAGTCAATATGCGTATAAAACATTGAACAGTGTGGGTTTTTTAGATATGACAACATTCAGATTTTTCTTTTGTTTTATGAAAAGCGATTTATGTCCAGAATGGCTGAATTCCCTGGGGAGGTAACTCTCCCCTAACAGGTAGATTGTGTGAGTGCTGTATATTCATAGGATAAAAGTTTGATTGGAGAAGGTGTGTGTAAATTTGAGGTCTACTGTGCACTTCTGATTTCATATTTAATTACTAGATTTTTCATTAGTATAGTGTGCTAATAGATAATTTAACCCAAAGCATTTTTCATCAAGGTTATAGAAAGATATAATGTTGTTGCAGTGAGATTGTACTTTGGCCCAGTCATTTAAACCAGTGGATTTTTAATCAGTTTACTCTGGATAAAATTATGTCTCCGAAAGTGCTTTGAAGACAACCCAAGTCCAGCAGAAATTATTGATTTGGGCTCTATATTGTTCCTTACCAGGAATGTGTGTGTTTTCCAGCACTGAATGAGGCCTCACTGGTTGAAAACCCTGCTTTAAGCTATAGATGGTCATGTGAACAACATGCATGTTTTCTTTTTCCTGTCAGATTAAACTAGATTTCACTTATAGGGAGTGGAATATTGAAGTAGAGTGTTCATCTCTTCAACATTAACACTTATTATTTTAAAAAGACCATTAACTAAATCTGAAGTAGTCCACCATTAACATCTGTATCAATAGATGAGTCAATAGTTTCTTCGACAAAACTCATATATTGGCTTGCTGTTCAAGTTAGACACTACCACTGTTTTTTCATTTTGAATGTTATTTGAATTAGAAAGTTCAAAAGAAGGTTCTTGCTTTTAGCTGTGTTTCAGCTCCTCCGCTCTCAAAAACCAAAATAAAACTGTGGATCCATTCCTAGTGTACATGCTTTCTCTTTGCCTTTTATTTAGAAATAAGAGTTTCTGTGGAAAAAACTATGCTTTCTGAGTATTGTTATTTGCACATTGCAACAGATTAAATGGCAGAGCAAATGAAGTGGTTATCACTCAACTGCCTTCTCCACTCCAAAACTCTTTCTCTGAGCTGTGAGAAGCTAGGATCTAGGAGAGCTGAATGATGTACACAGAGAAACATACGTCGTCCCTTCTCAGCTTAATAGTCTTGTATATGAAATGGATGAAAGCCACAGTTAAGTTTATTCTTACAAACTGTGCTGCAAACCATAGACATTAAAATCTCTATCTCATTTAGTCATTCCTGCTGTTGGTTTTAAAGAAGGTGAACATATCTAATGCCATCTCAGCTTAATCTGCTTTTGGACCTAAATCCATATTCCCACTTAAGTAATTTACTTTGAAGCTCTGTTTGTTTCAAAATGCTAATAATCTCAATATTTTTTGGACACAAAAATGAGATTAGCAATAAATAAAACTTGTAGATAATGATATGGAAAAAATTGTATTTTGCCCTATTTTTCCTTATCACTATGTTCAAATTACAGCAGAAATTTAACTGTTTCATGAATAATGAATGTTGCATACCATTACTTGTGTATTGCAACATTTTACCAGTTCAGTAATGAGATCACATCTCTACTTTGGCAGTGCAAGATTTGGAAATGCAGTGATTTACGGGCCCATTACTATGTGACATATAAAACAGCTATCTTCATATCCATGTCCATTCTAACAGTTGTCCAGTAGCTGTTGATGACCACAGTACTACCATATGACTGTGAAATTATCTCAGAGCTCTACCCATTTTGTTGCTTACATGAATCTTTTGTGACATCTTAGACATCTGTGTTTGTGTGCCTGTATTGACTAAATCAGACTGTCAACTGTAACACTGCTTTTCTGGCCTCCTAATTTAAAATTCTAAGATGATCTATTACAGTGAAAATGAATTGTTTTGGAAAATCTACATATGATTCAAATAATTCCCTTAATTGAGATACCAAAATAAGATGGAATTGTCTTTCCTTTTCCATCATTGTGTCAGGGGGATACAACACACTTACTGAGTAATACAAAAGGAAATACCACCTTCAGTTTTGTGATCAGGCTTTTACTTAGGCTTTGTAAGGTAACATCTGTTATTTTAATTGCTTGCTTTAAATGCTATAATGCCTGGAAAGAGTTCTTTAATTTTTATTGTCCCATTAGTTGCTATTTAATGTAATACAGCAGATTTGCTTGAAGACTGTGTATCGTAATGGAAATGCATGTGTGGGAGGAGGGGGGTTGTTCCCATAAAATGAAAAGATTCATAATTTGCTAAAGCATAATACATAGTATTAGTCCTTTGCTAATAATACAAATCTCTTCTGATCAGTGCAGTCAGCTGAGGAAACATTCTCCAAATAAATGTTCATATTTCTTCAGGGCCTTAAAGCAGATGGTACAATTCTTTATTTAAAATTTGCAGGAGTCATAGTTTTGAATGTAGTCGTGATTAAATATGCCTTAACAAAATGTGAGAATGGATTTCTCACACTCTCTCTCCCTCTGTCTGTCTCTCCTTGCTTCTTTTCCTGTGTACAATAGTAAATATAACCTCAAAAATCCCAAGATAGTAAAATTATGTTTCTTCTATGACTCTTAAATCACAAGCGTACAATAAGCTTAAGTCTTATTTAGTGGAACTGAAGAAGGGTCATTTGTATGATTTTTCATCACTTTTCTTTCTTTTGCTCTTCTTAAATGAAATAAATGTCCTTTTGGAATTTTAAATCCATGTCTGTCTCAAGCACTTTCCTTTGTTAAAACATTGAGGGTCATCTTTACTATGCCCAAAGCTGACACCAGTTTTCTATTAGTATTGTTTACTCAAGGACAGTCAAAACACTTTCCACTGCCTACAGTTACCGTACAGGAGGTGAAAATATTAATGCTACTCTACAAATGATTGGTTGGATTTCATCTGCAATAATGTGCACAGTTGTGACCAGCTCTGTTAAAATTAGAATGGAACGGCTGCACAGAAAAGCTGATTTGTGTGAGAAGAGATTGAAAAGGTTGGCTTGATTAGCCTATAAAAACAAAGACTGAAAGAGGATACGCTCTCTGTTTATAAACATACAGAGTGTGAATAAATACATCATTGTGAAGGGCTAGAGGACAAGGTTGGCACAAGAACAAATGAGTTCAAATCATCCATTAATAAACTGAGGACAAAAGTTAGTAGAAGGTTTTTAATTACCAGAGACATCAGAGTCTGGAAAAACTCCTTCTTTGAGGAAAGAAAGAAAAAATCTCCAAACTCTTTTAAATAACAGTTTATGGAAAAAGATCCAGCAGGTTTGCCCATCATAGCACAAGAGAGGACTGTGGGACCGAAAAGGTTGTATTTAAAGGCAACTTTTGGATGAACACCTTCCTAGGAGAGTGCCAGTCCTTGGCCACTGCATTCACTTGTTCTGTTGTGTTTCAGCCCAATGCACTCCACCACGAAGAAGAGCATAGAGCATAACTATGTTTTAAGCTCAAGCAGCTAGATCAGGCACTAAAATCACAACCCAGTTCCAAGATTTCACATAATTCTACATCTTAATAGGGATAACTCTTTAATAGTAACATTAGAGGTTCATTTGAACCTTTACATTTTCTGGTGGTGATGGCAGGTCAGGTGTGAAATGCCACCCTCTTTGGTACAGGTTGGCAACCAAGCTGCCAGCTCTTTTTTTCAAACAGGTGAGAGCCAATGGACAGGTTGACTTATCCCTGCTTTCTCTGAACTCTTGGATTTTTTTTCTCTGTGAAAGCTAAAAATTGACTTCTTGTCCTATCAATTTTCTCTTTTTAATCATCCTCCTCGGAACATAAGAAACCTAAGGGATATATAATGGAGCAAAGGATTATGCAGTTCAAGATGTCATTTTATTTGCCTTGGAGCTTCATCTAGTTATGCCTTCACTTCAGCTACTTCTCTTTGGAAAGTGCTGAAAAATTCAGCACTTCACACGTGTGCTGTGTCCTGGGCAGTAGCAGCCCACAGGCCTCAAGGGGGTGTGTAGTGGCCACCCTTTCCTGCTCTGCCCCCTGCTCACTGATGCTGTCTTTTGGAGGAGGAAGACACACTTTCTTCTCTGAGTGTGATGAAGGATATGATGAAGACATATCATGCACTGGAAAATAGGTTATGTTCAGTATAGGATAAATACATCTTGGCCCAAAGTTATGTTTCCATAAGAAGAGGTATTGCTGCCTTTGTTTGGTGCTTCTAACAGGAGCATGTGAATAAATTCTTCCCTTCTCTATCTCTCACTGCTGGTGTGGTCTCTCTGTGGTGAATAGTAAGTCTGTGCCGAGGTTGCTTATCTTAAAATAATGAGACAAGCTGAACAGCAGTGTATTTTAGGTGTCTAGTATATAGTCTGGCTTCCCACTGGAGTCTCTGCCTGTTATGTTGAGGTCATCCTTGTCAGTTCCCTTTTCCCAATTCATCTGTAAGTAGCTATTAATTTTAACTATAATTTCTTTTCTTATTTATTTGACTACTCAGAGGAAATGTACATCTAATTTTGTCCCTCTTCCATTTGAAATAGGACAGCCTTGCCTTTATTCCAAGTTCAGACCAACAAAAGAAAGGTTTGGAACTACATATAGAACTTCTGATTTTTCAAGGAAAAAACCCCACGTAACCTAGCCTAAATTTATACAGGTGCCAACTCAGTTCAACTTGGCCACCACCTTCTTTTTTTTTTTTTTTTTTTTGACATTTGGTGCTTGTATAACAGATCATCTGCCATCCTTATATCATTATACTGTATCCTCCTTTGAAGTGCAAATGAAAATTGTTTCCTCTCATACAATAGTTGCTTTATATAGTTTTCTTAAGTCAGATCCAAAATTCAAGAATGAGGGATGATATTGGAGAGTCATTATATAAAAGGCTCATCACTCAGTCAATGCCAAGTATTTAAAAAATGACAAAGAAATATATAGCAAATGGCTAAAGTTGAATTTGGGTTTGCATGGCATTGCTTTGTTGTTAACCTAAAATCAGAATTTGTGATATAATCAGTGGAATTCACAGCATTTAAAATAATAGCTATCATCAATGTATATACCTCCTTGGCAACCATACAAATATCTCTTTGGTGTTCAAATTCTGCTATTAGTTCCCAGGTGATGTATAAAATATGAGGTAGTAACCTAAAGGTTAAAATGAGAACACTCTATTTAAAATGCACCAAAAAATGCCAAATACACATAAAATGAATACCTTTTTGAGGCAGAAAAGAGAATAGTTTGAGCAGCTAAAAGTAGAAATCTCTTCTAAAGTATTATTTAACAATATAATATGGCCATGCAGGTATCAGTTTTTACATTACTAGAATGAGTCTAATAGTCTTGCTGTTACATTTTGGGCATGGTGTATAATGAAACCAGGCAAACATTTTTAAATACTCATGAGAAAAAATATAGTTTAAAATCAAGATAGAAAGTTTCCTGAGCTCATCTTTCCAATTATATTGAAAGCATTATAAAAAAAAATGACATGCATTTTGCTAAAACATTTTATTTTATTTTTTATCTTGCAGCTAGTGAGATGATACAGACTAAATGAAAAGACAGCATCTTAAACTGAGAGAAGCCATTATCTGTGGTACATTAAGAATTAATTGACCAGAAATGCAAGATATTACAGTGGACACAGCTGATGCCATGTGTTATTTTTGTTTGCAGAAAGGTCTATATTTCATAAAGAACATTAATAACAGATGAATTCAGAAACTATGACAGTCTGTGAAAAAGAATAAAATTTTACTGTAGTCAAGAGACTAGAAGTTAAAATTCACATCTTGCATATTTTTTTCTTCCAAAATTTAGAGGAAATAAACAAATAGCGGTATGTCCACATAAGTGGCTTCAAAATAATTAATTTAAAGAATGTTAACTGAAGCTCAAAAAACACCTCAAAATTACTAGGAAAATTGTCTTAAGATTTAAAGAGCTTCTTTTTCAAAACGCTTGGCTTCATTTTCACAAGGAAGGTTCTGTAATTTGAGTTCAAGTCTATCTTTTGGTGTCTCCTAAGTTCTTGATTATAGGTATAGATCAGGAAGCTAGAGGCAAAAGTTATGATGTTACAGGCGTAACAGTGCAGATGTGCTGTATCCTTTAAAAAATGAAAAGCTATAAATACACAAATGACATTCAGATATATTCAGTGGACTGTGGCTGTATGCAAAGCTGCTAATAGGAGCTCTTCAAGCACCTCCCTTACTGGGGGCGTATCCCCAAATTTAAACATCTAGAAAGATTGGGGCATCAGCCTCTGAAATTAAGGCAGATTAGGGACAAACAGTTCTGCATGATGCAAAACAGAGTCTAGGTAAAAAAATGAACATTTAAATAATTATTTCTCCTGCTCTACAGAAAAATACAGACACAGAATTGCCTTGAAATTTACCAGCTAACCCTATCTGAGTCATCAGAAAAAAGCCTACATTAAAGTTCAAGTTCTTATATGAAGGTTGGAGTCAGTTGCTGTTGCTTGTGAGCCCATGCTCTTCTCACTCCATGTTCCCCAAGGGCCTCATCATTCACTGGTGTAAAACACCATGTTCCCAAACTGCAAGAATTTATTCCATGTAAAGAACTCTTTTGCTGATTTCCCTAACCTTCCTTAAAGTTAATATTTAACTTAATATTTCACATATTGATGTATTTACTAGTTATTTTTCCTTTAAAGTGTGTGTCTGTAGAGCTGTGTTCAGCTGTAAGCTTTAATAGGTACCGTGTGGAGTAAAATGTTGGTTTTAAATTAGGTCTTGCTATAAATAAGCACATACACACCTACAATGCTCTAATGCATATTCCTTGCCCTTTTGGTAAATGATGTCTGCTAACTTGCACGTTGTTTATAGGCTCTTGATATTCTGTTTCCAGGAAATGAACACTTAAGGCCTGAATAATTGTCTGTACCTCCACAGCTCCTAAGTAATGCTACACTTAGAAATACATCATGGTATGACTTCCTGCTGATTTTCACATTATCTGCCAACGATACTATGAAACACTTTTAAGTAAAAGACCAAAGGTAAAAGGAGAGGGAGAGAAAAGCCAAAATGAAACTACTAAGCCCAGTTCCATCTACAAAGATTCAGTGAGGTTTGGGCACAGTACATTTAAACTTTAGCAATTATTGTAAGAGTGGTATTTCTGTTGTTTTAAAGAGCATGCATATGTTCTTTTTGAGGCCATGGCAGAGCTCGACAATAGCCATGTAGCAATCGCACACTTCTTGGCCCTCCCAGTTTTTTAGTTAATAATCTGGTGGTAACATTTCTGTATTTTAACTTTCATGCATATTCTCTCCCTTGCCTTATCTTCCAGGAAATAAATGATGTGGATGTTCAGGAGCTGGTGAGAAGGTCAATTGGAAGATTAACAATTATTCGACAGACATTTCCAGTCCCCCAAAACATAAGTCAGCGCTGTTTCCGTGGCAACCACAGAATATCTTCATCACTGTGTGATCCGAAGGACCCTTTCTCCCAAAGCATGGAGGTAGTTCATATACCAGTCTATTTCCACCTGGGAACTGTCTTTTTAGATAAGTTCAAGGTTTTTCCCCAGGGACTTAGTGTAATTTAATGTTTATTTTTCATGCTCTCTCTGACATGTAGTTTAATGGCTCATAGCATGACAAGAAAATACTTGGGCAAGGAGTGAGTGTGACTGATGGACAAGACCAACTCGCCCACTTCACAGCAGTTGAGAAAAAACTCCTAAAAAGCCACCTGATCTCCAGGAAGTGGAGTAGTTGTTGCCCCGCTAAATTTGATTTTTTGTCATCTCACTGAGAAGAGTTTCCTCCCCATAGCCAATGTCTCCTCAGTTGCTTCTCTAAGCCTCAGATGTGCTGTCAGTAGCAAAGCCTTCTTGGGGAGCACCTGTGTCATCGGTTTCAAGTGTCTTGGTGTACGCACCTAAATCTATGCCTATGTTCCAAAGAGGCCTTATTTTCGGGCTTGTTAATTACAAATCACAATTAACTATAAGATCCTTCCTACCACATGAAGTCAGTGACAGGATCATGGTCACTGTCCTCCTAACTTCACATAACTTTTCCAAAAGCAAGTTCTCTATCTCTCTCGTACATCCGGTTAGACTTTGTCACGATAAAGCTATGGCAAATCAGGAGTGTGAAATTGGCTTAAAATGTCAATTTTACTTTTGGGGTTTTTGCATGGTCATTTACAAAGTTGTGGAAATGTGACTGCATTGGCAACAGTGCAGGAGCAGCATATCTGACTTAGCAGCAAAGACCATTTGTCTTGTGATGCTGAAAGAAAGGAGAGAAAACAATGGGAGAGAAATAGTGAGGTGTTGAAGAGTGTCCTTACTTAAAATGGAAATATATAAAGGGAAAAGGAGGAGTGTGTCTGGTCTTGTCCTGTTTCGGGTTAGCTGTAAGAGCCTTTGCCTCACTGATTGTTCACAAAACAGCCAGTAAGGAACTATTGATGACGTGAAAAACTGTGGCCATAACACACTGCGCAGTGATCCTGTTAGAGGTCTTAAGATAAGCAGAGCTGTGTAAGGTCAATAGCGTCATAGGATATCTCTAGAGGCTGTTTAGGAACTGTGAAAATTCTCTAGGTTGCACTGTTCTGTTATGACAGCATGGTCCTGGGGGGAGCTTTGGTAATCTATGGATAATGCATAAAACTGAGGGTGTAATTACGTGCAGCAGCTAGAGATTGCAGAGAACAGTTTTCGTGAACAAAATTATTAACTACAGCAAGGCAGAAAACAAAATCATGTATTGATGGGAGGCTTCACGTTTTGATATATTTTTCTTTTCAACTTCACTTTCACTTCATTTTCACTTCAACAGTGAACTGACTCTAGGAAAGAAAAGTTCTAGAAATCAAAATTTATTCTCTAAAAATTGGCAAATTCCATTTAATGTGTTAGATTGGACCTTATACCTTAACCTGTGCTTCTTGATTAACCTATAGTTTGGAGAGCTGTAATATTCCTGTTGAAAACTTCCATAAAGTTTTGGTTCAAAGGAATGAAGGAAGCTTGACTAGTTTAACTGTTCTGCATAGTTGAGTTGCTTTTTTTTATGCTTTCCCTGAGATGGATGCACTTCATTAGTAGCTGAGTGAGACAACACTAAAATCTGAAAGGAAGAAAAACTCTGACACGGTTTCCCCCGGTGTCTTTGTACGATGCACAGACCTTTGAGTAGCTGCGGGGTTTGTTCACTGCTTCTTTGTTCTCCCCAACAATATTATAAATTAACTTCTATTCCAGTAGGGAATCGGAACAGTTTATAAATTGAAATTTCTAATGCTTTTTTTTAATGCCATTGAAGTGTGACTAATCAGAAACATTCTCTGGAAATTATAAGGGTGGATTTCTTGATTTATTTTTTATTAATTACTCCCCCTAAAGTCTGTGTGAATAATTAATTTTTTTCAACATCTTTATTAAAACACCGAAAATTATTTTGATGAAGATCTCTCATTGTGTCTCTAGGAATGTCCTAGTCAAAACAACAATTTCTATAAATTTGTATAATTTTGGAGTCAAGAAGTTAAAACTGGATTCACAGAAGTATTTGGTACTGTAACCCTTCTGTCTAAAACCCATGTGCAATAGTCTAGGTATACGTAAAATAAATACTGCTAATCCAGATTAATCACTCATACTTAATCTGAAAATCACATCTGAATTGTGAATTGCATCAACAGGAAGTTATGCAGTTAGATACTATTTGGTAATGCAAGTGTCCAGCCATTAATCTAAGAGACTTGGAATAAATAAAGGATCAGTAATGGATGCCAGGCAATGCGTTAAATGTCCTCGGTAAATTTACATGGGAAATGAATAAAAGTGTAAAGTGACTTCAAATTACAGCCCCACTCTGTGCTTTGGGACAGTTACTAATGAAGCATACTTCTGGTAGTGACAGGGAAGGGTGATTTTAAGAAGCAGAAATTAATCGTCGTGTCTATTTCTTTGCATTATCAATGATAGATTGCTGTAAATGTTAAGCTGAACTATTAGTGAAGGAATAGCAATGCTTAATAATTGCTGAGCTCAGTACTTGTGAGCCCTGTTAATACCTGATGAAGGCCCAGCTATATTACTCTTAGATTAGTGAGTGCATCCTTCCTCATGACCTGTGACAATAGTCTTCTATTCCCATGATATTAGGTTACGGAAGCTACCTTGAAAGCAATGTCATTTTCTTGGGAAATGATGTCGTGGCATCTGTAGCTCTTCATGTAGCAATTCAGTCTCATTAGTGACCTTATTGTCTCTGCTCTCTAGAGGGTTTTTATTTTCCTTTGGCGAAGGCTTGTGTAAAATAAACTTGCCTGACAGCACAGTAATAATTCCTTCTCTCCCCCTCAAACAAATGTCCCTGTGGTGCAGACTTCTTTGGGGAAATATGGTTTTAGCTGAAATCCTTTGAATTCTTTGTAGGTTTACAATACACAGACAAATAATCCAATTTATTTTAAAAATGCTTGATTAATCTGAACGCAGATCCTCAATCCGTGCTTTTAATCCTGTCATGCACAGTGATGCCTGGCCTGTGCATCTGCGGAAAGTAAATTAGTTCCTGGGTGAATACTGAAACGGAAATATTCACAGCCACTGGAGTCATGGGAAAAGCTTCAGTGAGAATAAAGAAGTGCCTTCCAGAAAGAGGGAGTGTGAAGGATTATTGCCATTTAAAGAGAAAAGGAAATAAGGATTAGAAGTTCTGTGTGTTTGCGGAACTAACAATGTAGAGTTGCAAAGGCAGTAGAGGATCCAGGGAGTTTGTCAGGAAGGAAAGCAGAGACCATTAGATCTCCTTCAGTAAAATGTGGAAGGCAAAATGCCTCGGGAAATTCTGGCAAGGTAAGGAGAAAGACAACCCTCTTTCCTGGATGCTAGGCAGGGAAGAAGTCTGTCGCAAAACCTTTCTGCGAGAACTGTGCAGAGCAGATGGCAGATGACATGGGCAAAGCCAGCATAAAGATGGAATTTGCATGGAAAATAAAAACATAAAAAATAGGTGATATGGAAAGGAGTAATTAGACAGGAAGAGGGGCTATTCTTTTTTCTTTTTTTTTTTTTTTTTTTTTTTTTTTTTTTTTTTTTTTTCTTCTGTAAAATGATATGTGGATTTGCCAGTCAGTGTCTCAGATCTTCAGCATTATTATGGTTCCTTGGCATGTACCTCCTACCATTAGCTGCAGGACTTTCCCAGTCTTTGGATATTTTTAAGAGGCAGAATAGGGACATTCTCCACAAAGTTGGCATGCTTTCCTATTGTAAACTTACTTCTTTTTTTAAGGTTTTGAGCAGACCATCTGTATGGAGAAAACTTTACACAGAGCAATCAACATACTCCACAAATCTAGGAAATGTCTTTTGGCTTGTCTGTGACTGATGAAGAAAAAAACCCAGCAACCTTGCCTCAGTTAGCAAATTGCTGCTGGCTAATTTGTTTTTGGGCACTGGGAATGCTCTACAGCCCTCTTCATTGTGCAGCTGAGGAAACTTGAGTTTCCCTTAGTAACTTCAGGCCTCATGGCTTCAAATGACAAATAGGTTATCTAAAAATAATATTCCCAAAGGTCCTTCTCATTTCTGAACATCATTTCTCTTCCCCAGAATCCCTGTTCAAGAGAGCTGAGGTTTCTCTTTACGATAGTGTTAGTAACTTAAATGTTCCTGCCATTTGAGGACTGAAATGACTGAAATAAAGCTACATTGTAAATTACTTGTTTCATAAGTGTTCAGGAATTTCCAGCTTCTGTTCTTTTACATTGAATTGTATCTTTCACATCTGACTTTGTACTGTGTGCATTTAAATTACATATATAGAAATCATACATGGGTATGTGGAACTGGCACACAAGTAATTTCTTTTCTTGAGTTCTACTGTTCTCTCTTTGATGCCAAACTTCCTCACACCGTATGCATGTAACTGTGCTCACCATGAAACATACACACATTTACTTAGTAAGAGTTTCATCCTGCAAGGAATTAACAACCATTGCCAGGTACTCTGACAGGAAACACTATAAATTGCAGAATAGATATGCAACTGCACATTGATAAAGAGTTCATCAGGTCATATTTATTTCCAGAAATTGCCTCAATCAGAACTTACTGCAAAAATCGTGAACAAAAAAACACAATGAAATGATTGACTTTAAATTTTCAAAGTTTGTGTTTTTCAAAAGAACAAAACAATCTTGAAGATAATTTGATGGTGTCCAGATATCTGGTAACTGAAAACTTGAAAGTTTCAGGCAACTGGTTAAAAATAAAAGAAAGTCTGTTTATGTTCACAAGTTGAGCTTTAATTCCTGCAAGTGGAGCTGTGCCAGTCATCGTGTTGCCTGTACTTCATGTGTGTAGTTTGATGCTACAAATCACTTTTAGTGTGACAGTCCCTAGCTGCAATTTTTACCAGAGCCAAAGATTTCAATTTTTGACTGTTACAAGTTTCTTCTTAATAACAAATATATTGTTAAATTGCAAGAGGATTATGGGTGAGGCAAAACAAATGATAAATTCTGGCTGCTGGCAGGACACCACAAATAATGATGCTAATACTCCCCTTTTAATGTCTTTGCAGATTTCAAACCTGTATATATACGACACTGTTCTCCTGTTGGCAAATGCCTTTCATAAGAAGCTGGAGGACAGGAAGTGGCACAGCATGGCCAGCCTCACCTGCATCAGGAAAAACTCTAAACCCTGGCAAGGAGGACGATCTATGTTGGAAACCATCAAGAAGGTACCTTTCCCCTCTATTTCCTCATCTTTGGTTTCTGTAATTCTTACATGAGGCAGTATTTCCTTCACAGGTGTGTACTATTCTTGCCAGTACCAGCAGTGTCTTTTCAAAGCAAGAGTTTCAATATATGTACAGTTTCTGAATGAAAATAGTCTTTAACTGGTTTGGGGTTTTTTTCATGTCATAATGAGCATATTTGTAAGTCAATGAGTTTGTTTACCAAAGCTACCATACTAGTAGAATTTTTGAGCATGAATTACATCCTACTAAAAAGTGTCACAGGTTAGGAGGTAAAGCAGATGAATTTACTATTTGATTTGTAAAAAAAAAAAAAAAAAAAAAGGTTGCAGAATTACACTTGGGTAGTGTTCTGTGGAATTTGCTGTTGCACTGCTATTGACATTAATATAGTGAAATAATAGAAACGAGGAGGAAAACTCTAACTCATCTAGTCTATATCCTGCCATTGCAGAACTGTTCCCTATAATAGTCTCTGCAGTGCTTTATCCAATATTAAACTCTCGCCGCTTCCCTGTGATTATTATTTCATACCTTAATCATTCTCATGCCCAAGATGCTTTTCCTGTTCTTCAGTCTTTAAAGATATTTTTTCTTAGTTATTCCATTTCTTCATGATGTTTACAGCTTCCACATACTTAGAGACAATTATCACAACCTTCTGGGTCAGTATTTAGTCAAAATATGCATAGGTTGATAGTTTACCCTTCCCTGTAAGTTATTCAGTTCAGTCTCCTTATGTTATTGATGTCTTTCATAAAACTCTCTTCTCATTTGTCTGCATGTACTTCCTGGTAATATATACTTATATTTAAAGTGCTGGCAGTGTCTATGATGTAAATATAAAAAAACACAGGCCAGTAAAAAAAAAAAAAAAAAAAAGTAGCACTTTATTTATGACTTTCATTAAAAGGACATAAAAATAATTTAAAATATAATGTTGTTTCGAGAAATTACTGTTCTGCGTTAGGTATTTAACTACACCAGAAATTATTATGATAATGCAAGCAAAATGTAAGGCTCCTTTGAACACTGCTTTTTCCCTTGAACACTTTTTCCCCAGTCCCAGGTCAATCTGCATTAGCTCCAAAACATAACAGCTCAAGGCTTTTTTTTTGGTGGCTGTCCCCAGTTGCCACTCTAATAGTTTGAAGTCATGAAACGGCAAGGATAATCCAGGACACATTTCTTATTTCAGGAGCAGGATATGGCTTTAAGGGACTCTAAACTGTATTGCTGTTAACCTATCAGAGCAATTTCAAAATCACATTTGGCAGGCCCATGTACTTTAAGCTATGTTTCAGGCAAGGCTGGTTCTGGAACTTTTCTTTTCAACTTGCATTTTGTAAATACTATTGCACACTTTTTCATTAATACACTAACAGCTATTTCTATTTACTCAAATCCAAATAGGATGCCTGAGACAGAAAAGCCAAAATACCCATTTCCACTTTAGAATTAGAATTTACTATCTGAGCTGGAGTTTCAGGCAAAGTCTAGTAGCCCTACTAACATCTCTAAATTTAGTACTTCACCATGGAAAGGGCTGCTGAATTTTTGCATTATTACCATTTGCTTGCTTGTGTTGTTTGTGGATGGGAGACTGATCCTGTTCTACATAAATATCTTTTATGTTGTTTCTTACTACCATCTTTTTGCATCTCAAACAGAGTTTATTCCATTCTTTGCCACATCACCCTAGCTATCCAGTTTACCTTTTTTCAATTCACTCCTCCTAAAATAATGCGGTTAATAAAAGAAACCCATGTGAACTTTCAGAGAAGAGCTGCACTGTGCTGAAGCTAAGTTTATGTAGCTCTTAACCCTGAAACATGAAGAGAAATGGTCTGGAGAAATAGAAAAGCATTCAAGAAGGCAGGAGCAAGTGGAAATCCCAGGGTTGTGGTTAGCTTGCTAAAAAATGAATCAAATGCCAAGGAAATTTCTGATGTGCAGCTAACCATGCTTGCATCCTGTTGCTTTTGGACTTCTCTGCTATTTTAATGAGATGGCTTTGATAAGAAACCATTTTATTGTGTAAATTGAATAATCCACATAGTCCTTATACTGCTTTGTGCTGACAGAGATTAATTTCTACAAGTAGCATGTTAAAAATGAAAGTCAACATTTAATCCAAAATGAAAGACAGAAATTTCTTGTTTGTGTGTATGCCTGTACCATTTCAATCCCTAGGCAGAGGAAAGCAAAAGATTGCAGCTGAAAGCTGGGATTGCACAAGAAAGAGGAATTCTGCCTCAGTTTTATGATTTACTTTCCCTTTTGTTTCACTAAAACATTTGTGCAGAGCTCCAGGATCACAGCTGTGTACTTCTGAAATTAAAAAGTTGACATTGATGAATGTCTGATGAGGTATCAGAAAGCAATAAAAAGTAGTGAAAGGAAAAATAAAAGCCACTTCATCTCTCTTTTTGAGAATGTTTCCATTTCCATCTTGGGGTTTGTTTTTTTTTTCTTTAAACACATTTTCTCTCCTGTCATGTTGTAATCCTCTAAAACCAACTGAAATAAAAAGTTTTTCTCAAAAAAATATAGATTTTCCTTAATTTTGAAACAAAACATGAAACAAGTTACCATGTGATTAGTTTCTGAATAAAAGGTTCTGCATTTTGGTCTTGAAATCAGCACTGTTCCAAAGACATAGTGTATAATGGAATATTATAAGAAGGTTTTGTTTTAGGTGAGGGTGAAGATACATTCTGTGACTTCTTAAATGCTCCTGGAAGAAGAACTTCTATCCTCTGCACAATTCTACCTTCATCTGTATCACCATCTTGTCCCAATTTGTCCATCACCTCAATGTAGTTTCAGTGGGTGTCACATTGTAGACAAGTATGGTGGTGTTGGGGAAAGAGTTAAGGAAGAGATGTCTAATTCCAGCCTGCCTGCCTTAGAAAAGGACTAGCAAGGGAAGTAGCTGTTCTCCTGGCAACAGCACAGCGGAAGTGATGTTGCCATCTATTGCTGCACACAACTGAGCTCTTGCTGCTTAAAAAGCAGGAAACACCCGTTCTAGAGGAAGCTTTTCTAGAAGAATAGCTTCTAATAGAATCAGAGATCCAGAAACAGGGATATCTGACAGTGTTTTAGCTGCAGAGAGAATCTCTCTTTGATTTCTGGAGGGCAAAATAAGAAGAAAGATGGGAAATCTCTATAAAGATACACACTGAAGAAGGTAAGAGAAAGGGATGCTGATGTTCTACCTGCAGCAGCACTTGTTAAAAATAAGAGAACTCTGACAGCAAATAAACTGATTTCTTTACGATTAATGAGGTAATAGGGAAGAGTAGGGAATGAGGGGGAATTGGTTTTAAATGTTTCTTGAAATGGCAAAATAGCTGTCTGAATCATTCCCTATATTAGTTACTTTTCACTAATGAACATTTGATTCCTGCATCACTATTTCTACAAACAACTCCAGATGATTGGGCAAAGCCTAAAAAAACATGTTAAGCTCACTACAATTATTAAAATCTAAAATCTATTTCTACCCATTCTGGAACTGAATAGTTAAATTAATCAGGAAACACAATATTTTTAAATAATTTGGCCAGCTCTAACAATTAGTTCCAAATTCACTTCTGTAATAGGAACTGTCCCCAAACCACATGCTCACTTGTTTATTTCTCAGTAAAGCTATTTCACAGTGAGAGAAATAACTATTACTAGAAAATAATTCTACTGTTGGAAAAATTAATCTTCCCGAATAGCCTGAGAATAAATGTAAGTAGGATTATATGGAGGATCAACCCAGAAAAATGACATCAAGTTATTGCATATATCTTTTCTCATGCTTACCTGATCTCTTCCCAGTCACATTTGTTTAGCTTACTGACAAAGAGCAAATTTTTCATGCTAGCAGCAACATAGAGCCTATTCCTTTGTGGAAAATGAGCTGTACCTCATGCTTTTCATGAATCGTAGGTGGAATTGTCAACTAGTTCTGGTCTCAGAAATGTCAGTGATGTTCTGTGGTGACATGCAAAAAAGATGCCAGGTTGTTTTTCAGGTAGTAGATTAGAGTCTCTTCACTAGCAGCTAAAAATGTGTGTCAACTTAGAAACTCAACAAATTTTCAATATCTTATTTTTTTAAGAATAAAATGTGAAACTCGTATTTAATGCTTATAGCATTTTTTTATGCCTGTAGCCACAGTTTTTTTCTTTGATTACAAAATAGCTACTGTCTGAGCATAATCATATTTTGAAAAAAGAGGAAGTTTGAACAGGAACTGTGAGAGCAAGTACAATATTTTATAACTGATGATTGGCAAACTGACATTCCCAAGTGAGGTCCTGACTGCTAGGTAAATAGTGATATCTTCAGGGACTTACAGTATAGTAGTGCCTAAGTATATATAAACTGTAGTTTATCTTGCCAGTCTAGACAGGACCCAAGTAGGCTTTAACAATATTGCCAAGCTTTATAACAGCTCTGCAAAGCCCAGAGCAGTGATCAGAAACGTAAGTAAAACATTTTTGTCCTAACAACTGACATTTCACTCTTCAGTTTTAAATGTATCAGGAAATTGCACGGTTGGAGCTCAACCATAGAAGAATTTGAGAGACTAGATAATAAATGTGTCTTCGTTTTTCCCCAGATAGCATTGTTTCTGTAAGTTAAATGAAATGAAAAATTTCTTTGCCTCTTAGCCATTATCATAATTAACGCTAAAATAACTTGGAAAAATCCTATCAGGAAGTTACTGGATCAGTAGCTATCATACAGATGGCCATTTCCTCTGTGATCTCCTTCCACTATGCATTAGCAGAGGGATAAAAAATGCCATAAATCAAGTGACTGTTGTTAAGGGATCCACACTGTGAAAGACTATGCAGAAAAATTGGAGCAGTGTCCGGAGACTCTTCCTAGGCCGTACGCTGTCCCACTCCATCAGCCCTAAGCAATAAAACAGGCTCATGTAAGCCTTGTAAAAAAGCTGTGTGGGACAATAAGGACTAGTAGAGATCAATAAAATGATTGCCTGGCCTGCAGGTCCAGCAAGGAAGGTCCCAGGTAGGCAGGAAGCATCAGGACCTCCCAAGAAGTTTCCTATCAGATTTAGTATTGTTGTTGGTATTATATGGGTGGTTATTCGCTGTTTTGTTTTTCTGCCTCTGCCCTTTGCAACCCAGGAGCATTCCCATCTAATCAGAGCTCTTACTACACTGTTTGCAGATGTACACAGTCTAGGAAAGAAAGCTCTAATCAAAGGCACTCTTACATGAGGAAATTTCAAAGCATGATAAAATTGCCAAATAGATGAATGACAAAAATTGTTGTTATGGTTACTGGTGGATTTGAGACAAATAAAAATAACTAACAGACTTATAATTTGTATCTTGCCCCAACAGTTGCAGCCATTTAAAAGTCAAGGTAAATAAGCTTACACAATGGTTTTGGGTAGAGATTCAATTCCAAAATGTGTTAGGTAAGTCTGTTAAACTGTGCTATATATTAGGGGCCGTGTATTTCCAAAGAATCCTGAGTTTTCTTAAAAAGTAGATTTCATTACTTCAAATGTAATGGGGGTGAAATACTTCTTCAAATTATATTTTTTGTACCATATTTGATCAAATAGGACTAAGGTTATAAAAAAAAAAAAAGTTGAATAAAATTTTTAAATTTTAAATTGCTGTCTCAAGTCTCAAAAAAATCATTTGCACTTTAGACATGATTCTATCTTCATTTCCCATAAATTATTTGGAGCACTCAATCTGGATAACAAAATCACTTTAATTTTCTATATTGAAAGTTCCTAATTTAAAACTGTCACAAAATGAGGAAAAAAGGAAAACACTTTCTGCTGCAAAAAGCATCTGTGTCAACGGATTTTAATATTTTTTGTTGACTGTTTCCTTTCTCTCATCATTTTGTTCCAGAGTTTTCCCTTCCCTTTTACAGACCTTGCTGTGGCTCACTTGAAATGATGGTGCAGCTCAGGAGGTCTTTAACAGTTTAATTAATTTTCATACTTAACCTACCTCACACTCACAGGACTAATTCACATTGCAGGGGGGGAGGAAGTTTTAGAAAGTAATACAGGAATGTAATATAACAGGAGTATAATGTAATAAAAGCAGTATATGGTAAGGGGTCAGAGTGGTGCAGAACTAGAAACCAGCCAGATGGACGCTTTCGGGGATCAGATGGGGATCTCAAGCCTTGCGGATCTGTGCTGCTTCGCAGGCATTTCTACATCACGTGTACCATGAAATTCTAGCATGATTAATCAAAAAGCCAGATGAGGCCATATAAGAAAAAAGGTATGTGGAGCAGGTCTTTATTTCTGGTTTGTAAATAGGTTGTAGTCAAATTTAAGTTAGCAGAAAAGGTTCATATTTGTGACTCTCAGTTACCTAAGGATATGTTCAAATGATTTTGCAGGTAAACACAAGCTCACTCTGTCTTTACTCTGAACCAGCCAGAGGTGTGCTAACCCCAATCTAAAAGCCATGGTAGTGTGATTATTACAGGATTGTACTCTGGCTAATAAGTAACCTCAGTGTCATGCTAACCATAGCAACATGCATCAAAATTGCTTGGCTGGCTCTCACTGATGGCGAAATGACCTGGAATCTTCTTTCAAAAGACTCTGCAGATGTACCCTTAATCAGGCTGTTGGTTTTTAACTGAAAATGGAACTTCATAAAATATTTATGTGACAATACTAGTCTCTATTAAGTTTTAAATGTATTATCTCACTGGTCAACTTCCTTATTTTTATTATAATCATATTCATGTTTTATAAAAGGATGACAACATTTTGTTAGTTCATACTAATCTGAAATAGAGATGCAAATTTTGTACTCATTCCTGGATTTTCTCCAAGCTCAAGGTGTGAGAATAGAACTTCTAAAATCATGATTCAGCAAGGCTCATGTGCTTAGCTAGGTAGATTATATTGCAAGAGTTTATTTTCCTTTTTTTTTCAGTTCAAGTAATAAAGCTCTTAACTGAAAGAGGAATCGCAACTGGAAAACTTTTTCATTATGTATTGAAGAAAAGCTATGCATTTCATGTGGTTTTACACCAGAGTCAGATTTTTTTCTTATACATACTTAAAATATTGTTAAAGTTTTTTTGGGGGGTGGGTTAAACATCTAGTTTTCTCTGAATTTGAAAACTGAGGAAATATTTTAAGGCTAAAGGTTGTCATTGTAGGCATTCCACATGGCTCTGTTGATTTTACAGTTCAGGTTGCCACAGTTCTTACACAAAGATGAAATGTGTGTCATGTTGAATTAGCCCTAGAATATATTTTGAGTATTGCTGCGGCATGTATAGCCTTTTCAACTCTGATTCTTTATAGTAAATATTCACTGTTTCATCTTTAGTATTTTAACTCCTTTTGATAAAATGTAAAAAGCAAGAATTCTTAGTAGTAGAATTGTGGAGGAAAACAGGAAAAAGACCATATTCAGCTAGACTTCATCATTTGTGCATATCACTTATGTTGGACAAACACCTAACTTTATCCAAATCTCAACCTGATCTTATGTGGAAATCTCTTTTGGGTGAGAAATATTTAGGAGCAGAAAGCAAAAATAAACAAACAACTAATTTTTGTTTATATATTTTTCTTAGTTTTTCTTCCACTAAAATTAGTCACAAAACTTTTTTTTCTTTTTAATATGGCTAGAATGTCTATACATATACACTGATGGGTCAAAGAACAAAAATTGGAGAGAAAATACACTAAGAATAAGACTGCTGCTTGTATTGCATTTGCTTAGCATAGAGTTTGATTCTTCTGTGAAGAACAGTTTAGGCTTCAGAATTTTTAAGGAAAGGTGGTCTTTGGAAAACTGTCTGAATTCTTGTGTCTGTATTGTGCATAGTTAGTGTACAAATACCTTGGAGAAACTAAAGGTTGTTGTCTACTGAGCTTTCACTTCATTATTCTTTTTTTCCAATAGGGTGGAGTGAACGGCTTGACTGGAGAACTGGAGTTTGCAGAAAATGGGGGGAATCCCAATGTGCATTTTGAAATTTTGGGAACAAATTATGGAGAAGATCTTGGCAGAGGGATTCGTAAGGTGAGGCTACATATATTCAAACAAGAGATTATTTTTTACTGATTTTTAAAAAACCTTTCTTGTATTCCATGTTAGTAGTAAAGTGTTTGATGGCAGATAGCATGCTGTTGTGTATCATTAAGAGGAGTAAGGAATGGGGGAAAACTTGAACTTCTAGATACCCATCTATTTTATTATTGCAAAGAGGCCTTGCAGTAGTGTGTGTTGATAATGGTGGTGTTTGTAATACAGAATGTGTTAAGCTGCTGGTCAGCTCTCCCAAAAGACCAGTGAAAGCAGTTGTTTTGAAACTCTTGCAAACCCTTTCCAAAAGAGCAAATTTTACAATGACTAATTCTCAGAGCACCGAGATTGGCATTTGAGACTTGTGGTCGAAGTGGGATGCTGCAACTGTTAGATGATTAAAATTCATAAGTACAGAAAGAGAAAATCTGTTGTAACATAGACAAAATTTATTGTCTTCATGAAATAAGTACTCAATGATTTAGTAGAAATTAACTTTTACAGAATAAGCATAATGTTAGGTATTCAGCTGACACACACAGTCCAAATACTTGGACTTAAGTTGTTTGAGAAAATGGCATAGATCTCCAACAAAATTACTTTTTCTGGGTGTTTCAGTTTTGCTAGTGTGTAAAAATAAATCTATAGTCCTGTATAAGGAGTGTTGGAAGCAGGTCTCTATTTGCAGTGCGTATCCTTAAATTCACACAACTGCCCATCAGGATGGCAAAAGTAGCAAAAATCATATGGTACCTCTTAGGAAAATATAAGACTAATAGGCTTTTCCATGAGCAATTCTCCTTTCAAGATAGAACTCTTGAAAGATAATACCAAGATCTCTTCATTTAGTGTATCACATCACACTGATTTTTATATGTGAGGAACCTGAAGTGATTGAAAGCAAATGACAGAGAAAGTTATCTTAATATATGTAAACTGGTTCCATGTATCAGTGTCACTATATGATGAAGTACATCATTTGCATACCTTCTGCAGTAACAGATAAGTACTCGGAAAGAAGGGAGAGATAAATAAGAAGTTAAAAGTGTCTCTAAACTCCTGAAATTTCTCCTCCACTGTTCATTGGAATTGTTATTCCATTCCTGCTGTTTCATCTTTGTCTATACCTTAATGTACACGGGTGCCCGTAGTTACGTCACCTTGAGCAGAGCTCCTGACAAATGCTTCGGAAACTAAAAGGAACCTCATCTTGTTGACATTTGGAGGTGCACTTCACAAAGCCTTTAGGTGACCAGAATGTTGGATGAGTCCTTATTTCCTCACCTATAAATTCAGTCTGTTTCAACATATTTTGACTTATTTTCTATGATGTGCCCTAAGGAGCTATTCATTCTTTAGAGCAACCAGGTAGTCCTTCCTAAGACAAATCTGTATATCTTAATTTAATTTAATTTGTTGACTTGGGTTGTTTTACGACTTCAGGCCTGCCTGGGTGAATGCTTTAATGAAGCATTAAATTGTGCTCTTCCATTTCACAAAAACATGGAAGAGAAGAGAAACCCACAGAAAGGTCTTGCAAATATACAAGTACAAAAAGACCTCCTAGCTTTTCCAACTTTTCCAATGGTATAATTTAGTTTTATAGTTCAAATTTAAACTATAGTACAGTTGTGCAAGACAATGAGATAGTACCAACAGGCTTTTTGAACCTTTCTTGTATACCCTTTATCATATTTCAAGGCAGAGACATTCATTGTCTTTGAAAGGAAATAGATCTGAAGTTTGTCACAGAGAACAGTTTTTCACAGAATATAATTAGACCATGAAACTTAGTGTCACAAGAGCTGTATTTTTTAATGTTTGCCAAGATGAACGTTTGAAATTAAATATAGAGATTATAAGAAAATTTTCCATTGAAGGTTGCACTATAAGTGTCTATTGTTAAAGTTTTGTGATGCGTTGCAGCTGGTTAAAAAGAAGGAAGTGTCCAGAGCAGAACAGATCTAATCTGTTCTTTTTTTTTTTTTTTTTTTTTTTTTTTTCTAAACAGCATTCAGTGATCCAGAGAAAGCTTTAGAAAGAGTCCTGGTGTAGAGAAAGGAATTTTCTTTAGAAGGAAATTTCTGTATTTGTTGTGAGAATGTAATAGTTGTTAATGGAAATCTCTTTTTAAAAAAAAAAAAAATCCTATGTGTTTTTTACACCGAATTGAAAAGTAAAATGATTTAAAATAAATATGGTATTTATAATCAATGTCACAAAGTTAAAAAACAAGCTGGGGATCCTAAAACATTTACATCAGAAATTTTTAAGGGGAAAATGCCATATGTTGGTTTTACTCTTTTGACAAAAGTTCACATATTTTATCTTTGATTCAGTTTTACTTTAGCGTGTATGAGCCACTAATGTTGGAAGCAAATCACAATAATTACAGGAGTCAGATATATTCTTGTTAGCTACACTAATTAAAGTGCACTTCAGATTTTCATGTGTTTAGTGGTCTGACTACAGAACTGCATAACCATTTTTATTTCTCAGCTCTAGTGGAAGCAGCTGCAATTACCAGACTGACTGAAATTTCTAAACAAAAGCAACTTCCCTAATTAACATGTTTCCAAGTACTTTTATAGGAGATAATAAAGGGTGAAATAATGACAAAAGGCCCATTGAAGTCGTTGGGACCAGAAGTTGACACCAAGTCAAGTGTGTAAAGAATTTATTTTTTCTTTCCTGAGGAACAATCAATTGATTTTAATTAAAGCAAGTGAAATTTTAAAATGCACTCAAATTCCTCAAGAGTCGAAATTCTGCTTGAAGTCAGTTCTGTTTGGGTTCCAGAGTCATTTTGTTACTTCTGAGAAGTTCATAGGTTAATATTCCTAGTGCTTGAAGAGACAAACAGTTAAGGAAACACCAAGAATTCATGTTTGTGTTTGTTTCCATTGGTCAAATTAAGCCATGTATCTAGCAGAAACTAGAAACTGTTTGCAAGTCCCCTCTTTCAGCTTTCATGAGCTACTGTCATACCTGGAAAGCAGTGGGAGCGTTCAAGTGGAAGTTCATTGTGTTGGGGTCCTTCATCTAGAGATGACTTAGCAAATTGAGGAGTGGGATTTGTCTGAAATACAAATTTTGTACCCTTATGTCTGTAAATGCTATCCATCACCTTGCAGACCGTGGATCACTTCGACCGTATGTGTTGCCGGTCAGGTACTTGAGCTAATACAATCAGATTGTTGCCGGATACTGATTTTATTGACACCAGTGTTATTACCATCCCAAAGGAACTGCAGAAAAGCTCTTGCTTTTACACATGCTATGGCTTGCCTTTGTGCAGATATAGTTGTATTCAGTGGGAGACATGGGTGTATTTTTGACATTTCTCTGTTGGCATTTGTCTGTTGGTATTTGACATTTGGGTATGTATTCTTTGACATTTAAATTTCAGTGCAATACTTTTATCTATAGTGTTGAAATAAATGCTGCTATTCCCGTGAATAACCATCCAACAAACAAACGAACAAAAGGGAGTTCATAGCTCAGAGAAGTACTGTCTTATATCTTAGTGGTGTAGAAAACAGTACTGCAGAAATAAAGTGATTTTCATGTTTTTTCCCTGTGGTCCTTGTAATTCAGAATGGGCTCATCCTCAAAGGCTCTGTTCTACAGTTTTTGAAGTTCAGAGGACTTTCTTCATGTTCTCACACTGGTTTTCTTACCACGTGTGGACATTTGGAGATCACGGTGCATTTTGCTCTGTATCCATATCCATGTTAGCATACACTCACCTCCTGTGTGTTTCTGTTCTCTTCTGAAGATGGTTTCTGTTGTTTCCTCCCTGTGGGGGAATGAGATGACATGCACCAGGATGTCCATGTCAAGACTTTATTTGCATTCAGGACACCTAGGCGTGCCTCAGATCAAGGATAGAGCTGTGGGCATGCAGGAAAACTGATCACCTGAGTGGGACACCTGGTAACCCAGGATGCTTCAAGCCCTCCACATTTGCCTGGTGGGATTGTACCACTCTATCCTAAATTATTTTAATCTGATGACCTTGAGGAGGAAAAGTTAGCTTTTCTAATCCAAGGGATATCTGTAGTGCAAAGCATTTCATATGAATGTGATTGAAGGCCTTTGGCCATAATGTCCGACGGATGTGTTGGTCCTCGTTCCTCTCTTTCTGCCAGTGAGAATGTCAGGACCTTCCTTGTGGAGTCAATACATGCAGGTTTTTATTTCACAGGTTATTAAGGGTTATGTAGAACATTCTGTAGTTGTGTTACTTATTCAGAGATGGGAAAATTGTATTGCATTTTTTGTTTACATTCTAGTAAAATTAATTGCTACCTACACTTCATCTGAGAGAGGTTGTTGATTACTGTAGTGGCATTGCTTTGTTATCGGATATATAATTTTTTCTTACATTTGCATCATGAAGCAACATATATTCCAAGTGTATATTTTGAGGGAAGCTTCTTGGGGAAGCTGCTATCTCTTCTTACAAAGTTAACATTTTTTATGTGTTTTATCTCTTACTCCCTTTTGCTTCATTAGATAAAAAAGAGAAGTTATGCAGCTCTGCTGATACTTACTAACTAACACTGTTTAATAACCAAGAGCAGACAAAGTATTTACTTCTTGTTTAGCTACTTGAGGTAAATGATGGGTTCACCTGTTCCCTTTGTGATCATAATCAAAGGTAGAGTTCTGCAATGTGATTTTAAAAATGTATATATATCAGCACCTAGTACTTTCAGCTGCTTCTAAAGGCTGACATGCAATTTATGATGTGGCTGAAAGATATACTTGCAATTTACAGAGACATTTTCTAGTGAGTTGAAAATAAATGTTGCTGTGTCTGACTGCTTTGCCTCTAGTGTTGATAGAAAAGATGGACCTGGCACAGTACTAACATGATACTCTCTCTAAATCAACTTTAAATACAAAAGCAGCCCACTAGAAATGAAATAAGCTATGTAGTACTAAGGTAAAGAGATAATTAAATATGTTGGTGATCTGGGACCTGCTGTTCC